AAAGAGCAGGAGGGTAATGCACCTCTAAAGCTGTTGCAAAAACCTTTCGATTGTTCTGCACTTGTCTGCCCCAAGGTTCATGAAAGTGATTGCCAGGACACACTTGGTTTACTGCACAAATTTCATTGAAGTTTGCAACCAGTTTAGTCCACTTAGGACGAGTGGAGCCATAGGCACATGCTTGGTGGACCTGCTCTATGTCAGCTGCCAGTGAGTCTCTGTCCAACCAAGGTGTAGTTCTCCAAAAGAGAGAGTCACGGGGATTCTCGCAAGCACAAAATTTGCCAAGTTTTGCACAAAGATCCTGACAAGCCGCAGTAAACTCATAAAGGCAGTTGGCTTGGCTAACGCGCAGGAAGTCCAGTTCAGTTAAATTTTGTAAGCCGTCAGGCTCATCCCAGGAGCGCAAAGGCTGCGGCAAATTAGGCTCGGCAGGATCTTGAATGTTGCGAGCCAGGCTTGCTGTCCCGCATGGAGGCGCAAGAAAGACGCCCCGAACTTGTGGTAAGGAAATCCAATCAAGCACTAGCTGCTGGTTGCAGCTCTGAGTCAAATCCAGTTTGGTGATCATCACCTTGGGTGATTTAGGGACAAACTTGTCGACTGCGATGACATCGTAGCCAAGCTTCTTGAAAGCTGCGCTAACGCCCGCAGTGCCGCAAAAAATCTCGAGCACCACTACGTGGGATGAAACTTCCAAGGCATGTTGTGGGCTGCCTAGTCACTCAGCTGTGCTAGGCATTTCTGCTTGGTGTGCGTCTTTGAATGCATGCGTTTTGAAGCATCCACCCTTGGAGCAGACGTGGCGCCCTTTTGGACAAGCACCCCCAACCGGGGCTTTTGTGCAATTGGCCAAGTTGAAGTCAAAGCATATCGGCCGATTCTTGGCGTCACGACCCACGCATCCTGCATATCCCTTTGGTGCAGCGTTTGAGCCAGATGATTTCGACTTTCCACCCTTATGTTTTCCTTTGCCCTTCTGATAAGGGTTCGAGCCTGTGGCATGCTCAGTCTGCTGACGTTTAGGCCCAAAGGTGTTCTCTTCCTTGGGTGCATGCTTTGGCAAGGGCACCAGGTGAAAAGCCGTGTTGTAGTCACGGAGGGCTTCTTCAAGCGCTGCATCAAGGGGCCTTACATTGTTGGCATCAGGCCTGATGTCAGGAACTCTATGTGACAGGAATGAGAAGACTTCCCTGTCAGCTCGCATGACCTGAGCTATTGTAGTGCTCTGAAACCCCACTGGCGGTTCAGATGTCAGGTGCTTCATCAGTCGTTCCACGTAAAGTTCATGAGATCTAAACGATATGAGGTTGCTGAATTCATACGCAAGGCCTCTCCTCCTCAAGCACATTGACAAGTGGAAAGTGGTTGAAATGGCTTCGTCAGGTACTGACTTCGTTTCCTTTATCGACAAAATTCCAGCGTCCAAACGTAGCTTCTTGTCACTCTTGCCTGCAGTGATTTCGTTTTCTCTGCTGGTGCAACGCGCCGGCTCGATGTACTTGAGAGTCCTTGATTCGAACTGGGCGCAGCACTCATCTAATAGACAATGAGAAGGCTCTCCTGTCCCATGAATGTTGAGCCCCTGAAGCCGGTTGCGCAGTTGTTCCAACCTGGCATTCTTTTCAGCAATGGGCACTGGGCGCGGCGCGGCATCTGTGGTCTCAACCGAAGAACGCACTGAGGAAGTGATGACGACCTCAGCCTCGAAGTGCAACCTGCGCATAGCAGCTGCTGGTCCCATTGCTAGAGGTACCCCTCCATTCACGTCAGTGACCCATTGGTCGAATGCAGCTTCCTCAAAATCAGAGCCTGGTCTAAACACTGCAAAGGCTAAGTGCCCAAGAGTTGTGACGCCATTTCTGGAAAGACTCTGCATAAATTCATTGGGCACTCCATAATCAGAAGCCCTCGACGCAAAATGCGCCTCACTGTCCATCAAACCTGCCATTGCCTTGAACCAAAGGTCTCAAAAGAAAAGGAGTGAGTGAATGGTGCCAGTATGAACGTGACAAGATCTGTATGAAGACAACTGCTACACTTTTCAAAGCTGGGGGTGTTCTGTGGCCTGTTGTTCAGGCTTCAGGGTCTGGCATGCCCTGAGCATACCACGCCTGTTGTTCAGGCGAAGGCTTATGACGCTTGGATTTCAGCAAAGGCATAATGGCAATGGACGAAGTCGTGTTGACGAGGATCGCGTCAAGCCACAGGTGAGTCACAAACTGCCAAAGGGTGGCAGTGGGCGTTGCAGTTTGTAACTCACCCAAAAAGAAAACATGGTTAACCACAATCAGCATGAGATAGTTGAGTGAAGTGACATTGAAGTGACCTGGAATGCGTTGAACTTGAAGTAACATGGTGCACACATAACCAAACGACCACTTGAACCAAGCAGCTGATGTGCATCCACATCTTGTATGCAGTGATAAGTCGCTATCATGTTTGACAGCTACATTATCAATTTTCCAACCGCTGCTGAGCCAACAAATATGATTGCGTCCAAACCTGTAACTGGACTTGGCATGTGCGTGACAAGATCTGTATGGGGACAGCTGCTGCGCGCAACGATGCAACACTTTTCAAAGCTGGGGGTGTTCTGTGGCCTGTTTTTCCCCCAACTTTCATAGAGTGCACGAGCTCATCCCAGCTGGCTGAAGGTCAAGCTTGCATTCTTCGGCGCCCATGTCTAAAAATTTCTGACAGCTAAATCTGGAGGGACCGCCAGAGAGATTTGAATCCGTTTCTTGCGTACCAAGGTGTGAGGTGTTTAGTGCACTCAAGTGCCATTGTCGCGCTGAGGATTTTCTTTGCAGTTTCATTTCTAGAGATGTCACGAACACCGTTGCTATCAGTGCAGATAACAACTGCATTCGTAACCCGGTCACCCCAAAGCAAGAAAGCGCAAAATAGTGCAAAGAATTCTTATTCGAGAATCGCCGTCTGTTTGCCTGAGGAATTGAGTACTGACACATTCGCATCAGACAACTTCTGTGAAAAGAAAAGAACTGGTTTCCCCACTGGAGTGAAGAGCACTGCACCAACACCTGCTGTAACACTGTTACACCAACATCATAACAAGCATCAGTCTGGATGAACCATGGTTCTGCTGATGACGGTTTGAGCTCGCGGGGACGGCCACCACTCAACAAGCTTCTCGCCAAGATCGCATCACCTGAGAGTGAACTTCCTCGGGAGGAATACGCATGGTTCGAAATGGCTGCAAGTGAGCATATTGCAACCCTTCCAAAAACATTTCCAAAAGTGAATTCAAGCCGCCCCCTAAGTCGCAAAGCCTCTTGCTTTGTCATATGCAGTGTCGACACATCGATGTTGACTATAGGGCCTGAAAAACATAGTACAAAAAGGAGGAGCCTTATCGCCAGACTCTGAGAAAGCCCATCCAAGAAGTTTGAAGCACATGTGACCGCAAGAGGTGATGGAATTACACTCAGAAGTTAAGACATACCACAAACTGTGGGAGATACAAAGAAAAGCGTGCGCTGAACGCACCGACCCGAATGGCAGGGTCTTCATCCGAAACCCAACCAACTCAAGCGTACTTGGCTTCTGAACAATGAAGTGGGCATACTTCTTTGATGTTGGTTTAACAGCGCACTGCCTGTAAGCCCAACTAAACCAAAAGTTCTACCAACCCAAGGTTCATCATTTGAGATGGCTGACATCAAGTGTACGCACATTGCTGCAAAAACATCTATCGTGTGAGCTTTGGACTCTCACAAGTCTGAACGCAACTGTTCACAGATGACTGCTCCTTGCTGTATTCCAAATCTCCGGTTCAGTGGACAGTCACCAGGGGGGTGTCCTTCAGGGCAATCGGCCTTCTAGCAGGCCAGAGCTCTCTTAACCCATCGTTTGTCCCAAACCGGGACAATGAAATCAGCACCACCGGAGCCAGCAAACTGCTTTATCGCATTACGGGTTCGCGTGCACTTAACAAACATAAACGATATACATATATATCAAACAAAACCAAAACTTAAAATGACTCACGGCTGAAAGTGCAAAACACGACAACTGACATCTTGAAAGCCACTCACCGCAAACTTTTTTCTTCTCCATTTGCTGTTGAAAAAGGGGCAGATCCAAGCGTGCATTCGCACTTCCGGTCCGGTTTCTTTGAACGAAAACGTCTGTTGTATCCATTCGGCTTCTGGTCCTTCGACCAACGGGGTTTTATTTGCCTGACTTTTCAGGCAACTGTGCACTGTGCTTTCAGTGCTTACCCAATCACCCCGGACTCGCTGGGTGGGAAATATAACGTAGTGCATATAGGGCGGGTCGCGAGTCCAAAGATTAAGACTGCACCCTCCCACCCAACCCTGGTCTGAGGCGTGCGAGGTGGACATAAACTGAATGAATATCCGGAAGTAAAATTGCAGTGCACACAGAAAAAACAGTTGTTAAAATCACCTTTGTGAAAAGAGAAAGAAGCGACAAAACGCAAGAGGGTTGTTGAGACCAAACTCAAACAACGACAGCAACAACTGTTTTCTTCTGTTTAAAGAAAACTTGTCAAGCGCCAAAGAAAAAATTTGGACCCCTCCAAAATTGTTTTCTTTTCTTTGAACCCTTCTTTAACGATAAAGTATCATCACCTTCGGTGAAATGGCACTTATCACATTACGGGTTCGCGTGCGCTTAACAAACATAAACGATATACATATATATCAAACAAAACCAAAACTTAAAATGACTCACGGCTGAAAGTGCAAAACACGACAACTGACATCTTGAAAGCCACTCACCGCAAACTTTTTTCTTCTCCATTTGCTGTTGAAAAAGGGGCAGATCCAAGCGTGCATTCGCACTTCCGGTTTCTTTGAACGAAAACCGTCTGTTGTATCCATTCGGCTTCTGGTCCTTCGACCAACGGGTTTTTATTTGCCTGACTTTTCAGGCAACTGTGCACTGTGCTTTCAGTGCTTACCCAATCACCCCATTTCAACACTGACAGTAAGCTTCTGAAAGCTTTCAAGTGCTTAAAGGGCCATCGCGTAGCACGGTTGCGACTGAATGGCATAAGAGTAGGCTTCGAATTCGAGCCTCGAGGCATCATCTGAAGGATTGCTCTTTGATGGCACTCTTGAGTACCAATTTCTTGTTGGTATCTTCACATCCAACTCAGCATTTAACTGCAGCAAGCAAAAGTTGTCCAAGACAGGGGAATAATTCCTGACCAAAGCCATTCTTGCAGAATCGTTATCAAGGAACCACAGTATGCTTCTGTTCTCAATCACTTGTTTCCAAGTCTCTTTTGCAACAAGCACCGGAAAGATCTCGGCTTGTGAAATCACTTGCTTCCTCCCTGATCGTTTCCAAAAGGCAACGAATGGGTCAGGTATGTGATCCCCAAAGAAAAGGCCTGGGAAGACCATGGATCCAGCAACACAGCTCCATGGGTAACTTTGCAAAAATCTTCCTCCGCAGCACCGTCCGTAAAGATAAGGACTGGTGGAATGTTGTTCCAGGCCTCCACCACTCTAGGTCTTGATTGCAACAATAAACTCAAGGCATGCGAGGTTGCATGGACCAGCTCCGGATTGATCTTCACCAATGGTCCCATCCCACTGAGTCTGTGCAGGATTTGGCATGCCAACTGTGTACACCGTCCGTACGTCTGTCCAGCGGCATAGAGCAAACGGCCTTTCAACGACTCTATTTTTGTCCTGGACATTGACGACCCAAGACACTGTTGTAATTCTTGTACTTGCAGCTTCAATTGTTCCAACCGGGTCTCCTTGTTGCGGACCTCGATCACACCCGAGCTACTCATGGGAAAAGCCACAACTGCTCTTAGGATCTCGAAGGACTTGCTGAAAGGCCGTCGTTTGTCCTCGCCTGTAGAAATTTTCCATCCCAAAAGTTCCACAACCAGCTCTGCCGTCTTCCATGCGGAGCTTGTGAGTAGCCCCGACTCAATTTGTCAGAAATCGTCAAAGAAATTGGTGACCACCAGTTCGAACAACTTGGCCAGGATTGTACGCAAGGCACGAGCCGCCCGGTTAAAGGCTAACACCGAGCTTATGGAACCGAATGGAAGCGCAATCGCTTCGAAAAAGTAAACTTGGCCATCATGGGGATTGAGCACCGCCAACACCGACGCCCAGGAGTCATCTGGGTGCCTTACAAGTTGTTTATACGCCTGTTTAAGGTCCAGGCAGCGACCATAAAGGTCTGAACACTCACCTTGTTGCCAGGATCGTGCAGTGTGCCCTTGCGCAACTCCCTCGCCAGTCGGAAGCTGCCACGAAGACCCATCTTGGGATGCTCCTAGAAAAAACCTTGCAGTTGCACAAATATTGTCAATGCCCTCCAAGTCTATCTTCTCGTGGCATGTAACTGTAGCATTGATGAGGTACTGCGAGAAGTCATCAACTGGGCGAATTTTTCCGCCTTGCCTGACACCAAAACGTTTCGCCGGTATCCAGTGTGCACCTTGTCTTTGGGTGATCTGTTCAGCGTCAAATGGCCCCTGTACCCATTTCTTGTCATCAGCACATTGCTCCAGCGTTTCTGCCCAAACTGCTTCAGCTACCTCTCGATCATCTGCAATCTTCATTCAAACTGGCAGCAACGGGTCTCTCCCGAGGGCCTGGAGCAGCAACGTTTTTCTGCTCCACTGATGAAACGCCCGATCCTTCGACCGGCTCTGTGGAAACAGGCTTGCCCTGCATGATCTCCACTGAAGGTGACTCCTCGGTTACCTTTGCAACGCCAGGAGTCATTGTCGACTGCTCGACAACTTGTGAGACCTTCGCCTCTGAACTGCTCAGCAAGGTTTTGCTGAGTCACGATGCCTTGTCATGATTCAGGAAGTTGTGGGACGAAGCAAAGCATCCTGGTTTGCAACACACGTGACGTCCTCTCTTGCAGACCTTCTCATGACATGTTCCCAAGTTGTACCCGTAGCAAATTGCACGGCCTTCCGAATCAACTGGTGTGCCCCCTCTCAGCTGCGAGGGCATCGGTGTTTTGGCCCATCTCTTGTTGCGAAGTTTGTCAAACTTCCCACCCTTCGGCTGCCCTTTCTTGTCGGGCTGGGGGTGTGTTTTCTTTGGTCCCCCAGCATTGTTGTTGTTGCTCGAGGATGGCTTCTCTGAAATTGCTGAACGAGGAGTAGGCATGAGGAGCCACATCACCGAAGGCATTTTGAGAACTTCAGGTACATGTACATCAAGCGGTAACTCGCCTGTAGGACCAAGTGGTAGCCCTGACCGAGTTCTTTCAGCCAATCTCAAGTGCACTTGTCTGTCAGCTGCTGCAAGTTGTGCCAGTGTTGTGGCTTTGAATCCATCAAGGGGGTCCTTCTGAAGTTCATTGAACAGCAGGTTGATGATTGTATCGTGCACCTCATAGCTCATCAGCTTGGCCAATTCGTAGGCCGCACCTCTACTGCGAAGTGCATTGAGCACGTCAAGCTCACTCCCAACGTTGCATTGGAGAGAGCTTTCAGCATCTGCTTGCTTGATGTTGCCTGCTGCATCGGCTTTCCAAATTTTCAAACTGCTTTGTTCTTTCAAGTTGTTCAGTTCTGCAGACCTGCTTGTACATCGAGACCATTCAATGTACCTGAGCCTTCCATCGTCCAAACATTGAGCCACACTATTGATGAGAGTGTGACTGGGCTCAAGGACACTCTCAATCTTCAACGGTGCAAGCTTGCGCTCAAGTGCTGAGAAACGAGATGCAATCTCTTGGACTGGCAACTTCTTTGGGCCATCTGTTTCGTTTGTATCAGCTTTTCGTCTCAGCTCAGTTGCAGTAAGAGTATAACTTTCAAACAACAGCCTCCGCAACAGCGAAGCCTCTGCATGGTGTGCATCACCTAGCACTGGCACCGACACCTTGTTGTCGAAATCATCATCTGAAATCTGAGCAGGATTTGTGCTCACTGAGAAGGCATAGCTACCAAATGTATTCCACCCTTTGGCTTTCAGAGAGTTCATCGTCTCTTCAGACAATTTGATTTCAACGCATCTTGCTCTGAAAACAACTTCACTGTCAACGTAAGAGATGGGTCTCTCACCGTTGCGCACAGAGCACAGTTGTTCTACTTAAAACAAACATGAAAATAACGTGAAAGCAAATCTGAATTCACTCAAATCACGATGGCACGATGAAAACGACATGCAATCAAGACCCTTGTTTTGTCTCGAACATGAAACATGCAGTTGACCCAAATCCTCAACTCCTTGAGAGGGCACTTCTGCCCTAGAGTGGTGCGTCCACCAAAACTCTGTTGCTCACTTCAAGCAATTGAAAATTTACTGCATGTGATTCAAACTGCACTGTGATTTTCTCACCCGATGCCACACTTGATTTAAAAAAACGAAAGGTTTGTGAACGAGTTTCACGTTTGAAATCGTCTGCAATGTTAATTTCCACTTCGGCCGGCCCAAGAAACCGACCCCCCCAAGTGGAGAAAATTTCCACAAAAACCCAAGGAAAAACACCTCGTTTTGGTGACTTCGTGGGGTCCATTTTCACCAGCTTGGGAAAGGCCAATCAAAGTGGAACATTGCCAGTCTGCAACGTTTCACTGCACAAAAGGAATCACAACAAACATGTAGACCGCAAACCTTGACCTTTAGCCTTGAGATGAAGTCATGACCAGTTTCACGTTTGACAACTGAAAGGCAGCAATGCAATCTTTTGCACATCCGAGAGGGGTCCAGACGTTCGACCACTGCCACTGCTACGTCATCCATTGGAGCTGTTGTCATCAGCGTCCAAACTCCATCCAAAACAGGTCAAACATCCATGTGCAGTGAAGGCAGGTACATGTGAAAGCAACTCATAATTTGCATTGCACTTTCTACCGCATTTGAAAATGGAAACACCAAGCAGGTTCTTGTCAACCAGGTGCAACTTCTTTGACTTCAAATGCCTATAACAAGTTTTCCCTGCTATGTCCGAGGGCGCAACCAAATCACGGGCGTTGTGCTCCCCGTCGAGTTCGACCCTTCTTTCGGCGTCGTCTGAATCACTGTCATCATCGCATGAAGAACTCATTGAATCAGACATGTCACTTACATCACTCAAATCTGGTTGCAACGGATCATCCTTTGTGCTGTAAATCTCAGGCAATTTGAAAAGACGAAGTTGATCTAATGTCATGTCATCATCAAAACCTGGAAGCTTGTCGAGCTCTGACTCCAGCTGGGGTCCAGGCCGTGGAGAAACATCCGGCTTGTTCCCAGAAACTCCAAAACCACTTTGAATCGCATCACTCAACACTTGACAATGCATTCCAACTTGCATATCATGTTTGTCAAGGCCATGACTGTTGGATTGTTCTGCAGCCAGTTTCACGGCCTCCTCAAGTGTATAAGCTCCTGACCATCGCCTGGAACGAGACATATGGGGTGACAAGATTCCTGACCTGATTGCAATGAAAATAGCCTCAATCTGCCTCAGAATTGGTGACGCAGCATCACGTGAATATTCCAATGCACTTTTGTCTCCTGGAACAACATGATACCCAGCAAGTCTACGCAAGGACAAGCTCACATTTGCTTTTGACATCCATGAAAGAATAGTCGCTTTTGCTGAGTGAGTGGCAACGTTCTGCAAACTGGTAGGTGATAGAGGTCGCAATAGTTCCCTCAACCATACACTAGCTTCTGACGATGTGAGTGGCTGCAACGACCATCCACCCCCTGACACAGGGCACGGCATCGTAGGTTGTGACATGCTCGCACACAGTCCAGCTTTGGCCCGGTGTTCCAACCAGCCACTCACTCAGTCCAGACCTGTCAGACCTGGAACAACGCCTGCAACAGGAAGTAGTCTTACTACATGAGTCCTCTGTTTCTTGGCAGTCTTGTGATGATACAAAGCAGCTTCAACGAATCCACGACCTTCATGGACATCAAGCCGAAGTAATAATCTCCTCAGGCCAACTCATCGCTTGGCTAATCTCGGTGGCGAGACGTTCAGATGCAAGCATACTCCAAGACCTCAAAGCTTGGATATATGAGTAAAATCCTTCAATCTCCTGTTCTCTTGTTGTCCAAGACTTGGTGTCAGGTGCTGGTGGATTCGGCGACCACTTTTCACTTTTACTGAAAACATCAACTTCATCCCGATTGGAATGTCTTTCGTGTATTGGGCTCCCTAAACGGTTGAAACTACCACCCTGACCCGAACCATAAGATTCTCCAAAACTTTGGGGATTCTCAACACCTGTCAAAACTGTTTGCTGAAGGTTTTCACGGCGTTCCAAGACAGCAAGTCGGTTTGAAACCTCAGATTGAAAGTTTGACATCGTTTGCATCATCTGGTTCATCTGAGCCATCATGACACTCATGGGTTCCATGTTACCAACTGGCATTTGTTGTTGAAATAATGACCCCTGCACAAACGGCACAGACATCACCGGATCAACACCTCTAGCCTTAGCAACAGGTCTACCATTAGAGCTCGACTCACCAGGACTCGACGGCACCCTGACTCTCGTGGCATCTCCCGGCAACACAAGTACAGTCCCAAGACCACCCCCACTACCTGGACCCACAACCTGAGTGCAGAAACCTGGAGGCACATTACCTGGCACAGCACAACCAGCATCACCTGGTTGACGACCCGTCCCAGCACAATTCGCCCATGGATCGGCAGGCACCCGAAACTGACTTCCCCTTTCAGGAGACGACATAGCACCCCTCTCAAGGTCACCACCCCGACCAGCCATGTCACACACAGTCCCGTGGAGTAGCTTCGGACGCCCCGTAGGGCTCCGCTACCACGTAGAAAATCAAAACCGATTTCGCCAAAAGTTTACGCGCAGTTACTTAACACAAAACGAAAACGCAAGGTTCACGAAGTGTCAAAACCAATGGCCTCACTCAGTCTGATCCCTTTTCCGTTTGCACTCCACAGTCTGTCCAGCAGCAGGTTAGCAGTTCCACACGGTCACCACAAACCAAAACAAGGACGTGAGGTGTCCTATACTAACTCTTCACAGTTTCACAAGGTTTCACCTTGAGCCAAGTGTTTAAAGGTTGAGTTAGTTCCAAAAACTGTTTCCTTTCTCCTTCTATTTCTTCTTCCACAAACAAGAGGCAGACAACACACACCAATGGATGTGTTTGTCCCCTTCAGACGTCAGTCTCTCAACACGGTTGAGTTAAGACGTAGCTCGAAGCTACCTGAATGACTGACATGTGTCATCATTAGGAGGCAAAACAACATCCAATAGAGCGATGAAGTCGCCACCTGCCAAAGATCACAGGAAACAAACATTGACACTCTCAAACTGCAACACTTCAGTTCACACTGCCGTTCAGACTTTTTTAGTTCCACCAAAATAGGGAATTCAAACTCGTTCGGTCAAAACAAAATAGGTCACGAATTCTGTTTGCTGAAAACTGATTCCAGCAACTTCACGTTGTCAATGACAAACCAACCTACTTGGTTCAAAACTTCTAATCTGTACTCAAGGCATCGGAAAGTATCGATTCCGGCCAATTTGGTCTCAAACAACATAAAGATAGGATTCCACGTTGTAGTTCCGCAACTGCAACATCGAAATTCACAAGCTCGTAGATTGCTCGGAGGTCAATGGTTGTAAAAACATGACATCCCAAATTCACAATTCTCCATATTCCAATGTCATAGTTGGAACACCTACTGTCGACTGTATGACACTTTCCAATAAGAAATTCAGATCGTTGATGGTGATCTCACCAACCATGTCAATGCACCAAATTGACTGCAACGTCATTGTCAATGTCTCACGACTGCAACAACTACAAATATTCATCTCGCACCAAAACTCTGCTAATCTCCCTGTCTGTCCCCCTCTGCCTGTCCTGACGCTTCTGCTCTCTGTTTGTCTCTTCTTTTTGGTGCTGTGTCTGTTATTTTCTGTGTGGCTCTCCTTCTGTGTCTCCTGTCCGCCTGAGGCCCTGCTGGAGATCGTCCTAGGCCGCTGGCTACCCTCATGGCTGCTGGGGGGGTGCAGTGTACTGCGCAGCAGTGCAGCGAGAGGAACTGGCCTGTCCGGAACCGCTCTGCTCTGCTGCCTAGGGCGCCTGTGTGCAGCAAAGCCTGCTTTCATGGCTCGTTCTGGAGTTGGCATCAGTAACTTCTGTGCGTCTGCGGCTGTTGATTGGAAACACTGGTCACATGCGTCCAATCAGATTGACCAGAGCTACCAGCACTCTGGGTCTGTCGAAATGCCAGCAATCCTCTACACAGTGTCCGGCCTTGCAAACAAACAAACTTTTCCTTTGCCCTGGCTTTGTCCTGACTTCTCTTTTCCTTTTCCTCCCTGGCATCCAGCCAGCTGATGACGAGCTTTGCCTCCACCAGTGCTACGCGTGTTGGCCTGAAATTGTTCTTCATCTGAGTAAGTCAACACGTTGACGTGCAACACGTTGACGTGCAACACGTTGACGTGGGTACAATGCGGTATAGGATCAAACAAAAACCACACAAAAAAAACTCAAGACCTGACCCAAACCATGCAGAACGCGAGTAGCCACCGCCCAATTAGGTGTCCTCGTGGCACAGTTGGTAGGGCGTCGTTCCTGACGACGCTGACAGACTGCCGGGTGGTTCGATTCCCCACTGGTCCGCGACTAAGCCTCAAGTGGTGACCCGCCGAAAGGCAAAGGGCGCCGACCAAAAAAAAATAAGGGGTGGCAACATACCCGAAGCCCAGCTTGAAACTCAGGTCGTGGTGAAACAATGCAAAGAAGGAGGCAACTTGTGAGACCATGAAGAAAACCAGGTCCGTAAGTGGTTACAGGAATCCAAGAGCGCGCTTGCTCAGCCATCTGCTAGCTGAGCGACTTGTTGAAGAAGTCGTCCACTGCAATCGTGACAGAGTTGCCCTCCAACTGCGATTTTCATACTGACAGTGGAGCTGATGCAGCCACCTTTCCAGCTTCATTTGGTTTGTCATGTTCAAAAGTCGCTGATGAAACTGTTGTTTTGCATGATG